GGGAGGACTGGCTCCTCATCCTGGTGTTTGGAAGTGGCCTCCGGCCTCCCACTTCCTGCACCCCTCAACTGAGATGGAGGTGACTGCACACCTCTTTTGAGAGTCTCTTGATCCCCACTGCTCCTGCATTTCCCACCAGAGTGCCCTGCAGGGCTCAGGCACAGCCCTCGGCCTGCTCACTGTCCCCAGCAGCAGCTTTCAGTGCATAGAACAGACCTTAGGGATCACAAGGAGAGTAGATCTTTATAATATCAGAGATGGAAGGGGGGCCCAGAGTCACACCTGGTCACACCTCCTGATTATCCAGAAGGGAAACTGAGGACCAGTCATGAGGAAGAGGTGCTTAAGGCTACATGTCTGTCAAACATGAAGACAAGATCTTGCAGCAGGCCCCAGCTTGACTGTTCTTACAACTCCACACTCTGTCTGGACCTAGCACAAGCACAGCTCAGCACAGCTCAGCACAGCTCAGCACAGCTCAGCACGGCTCGCGCAGCAGCACTCACCAGCCCAGGCTCCTGCCTGCTCTGCCCCAGTGGGCCTGAGTTGGAAAAGGCTCACATGCTTCCCGTAAGGACTCAAGTTTTAAAGCTGAGGTTCAGAGAGGAATGACAGAGCCTGGGCTGGAACCCAAGTTTCCCTTCCCCATGGACAAGAAGACTCACGTCCTCCAGCTTCAATGTCCAGACTTATTCCCACACCCCAGTAGTGTGACCTGCCTGATGTTGCCTTGTATGTGACTCCCTCTTAGGCCACTTGACTCCCTCTCACGGTGCAAGAGAATCCCAAACACCATAGGTGAGAGGAGGCTGGGCGGCCCTCAGGGCTGGGGCTAGGCAGCTGGAGCCAGTGCGGGAGGAGAGCTCCTCCTGCTAGGTCTGCTGGCCTCCCTCCGGGCATTTTGGGGTTCAGATGGCCTCTGCTGGAGGGGTCTGCAGGATCTCCTCACAGATGGCCCTGGTGGTGTTACCCCTACAGACTCTCACCTGAAGCCTCCGGCTTCCAGTCACCCGGCAGCCTGCTATCAGCTGATGTCCAGGTGCCAACCACCTCTTGGGACAGGCTCCAGCCACCTGGTGGATGAGCATCCCAGAGGGGCTAGGGGAAGGAGGCCCAGGTGAGAACACTAACTTAGTATCTCGAGGTTTGGTTCTAAACTAAATTGGCATGACGTAGGCTCCCACTTCCCTGAGGGTGAAGAGGCCTCTGGCTAGAAGAAAGACTCTGGGGGCAGATGGGGTGGGAGGGGTGAGTCAGGGGCAGGTAGCCTGGTAAGGCAGCTTTTCTTTTTCTAGCAATCAAGACCTTGAAAGTCCAGGAGGGGAGAGGGCTACTTGCGATCTCACAGCAGGGGCCTCCCCTTGCAGCCCTGGCAAAGTCACCCTTGTCCCAGTCACAGCTGCCTGCGCTTCTCAGCGGGCTGAAGTCCTGCAAACAGGCGGCACACGGAGCTCTGTGCCTCATCAGCCTCTCTGAGCACAGATGAAGGGGGTATCCGGCCTGGAGGGGAAGTGTGTGGTATAGGGTTGGCCAATGCAGCCGCTCTGGCTGTGGCCTCCAGGGGGAGCGATCCGACTTGTCCCACTCTGCCCCAAGACAAAATATTATGGCTGGTGGCCAGAGACAGATATTGATCTAATGTAAGTCAACGCTGTGCAGAGGGTTGAATTTCTAAAGTAATGAGATCCCCATCCCGGAAGGTATTCAAACCTAGCTTGGGGTGCTGTTGAGAAGATTCGTATATCAGGGCCTACTTTCAGATGCCTTCTAAGTTACTGACAATGGGCTTCTGCAGCCTTCATCTGAGGATTCAAAGGATAGAAGTAGGATTAACTCTTGCCTGAAGAGAAATAGGACACAGACAAACTCCTGCCTTCCTGCTGTTTTACTCAGTCACGCTCTTTCCCAGGATGCCTCTATGCCCTTAGGCCCTGCTACCTGGTTCTTCTTTACCTGACATGTTCATGGCGGGGGGGAAAAGGGAGGCTGTGAGCCCCTCTGCGCAGGCTGGAGAGGTGAGGATCTGGAGCTGGGCATGCCCAGGGAACTTTCCAAAGCTCAGCCCAAGTCTAAGCCGTGTCCTTGGGCCGCCAGCCTGGGCAAAGCCACCTGGGCCTACAGTCAGGACGGCAGGTCACGAGGATGGTGCTCCCGGACTTCTCCCTGCGCCCTCCCAGGTTTGCTGGTCTCCAGGCCCCCAGCCCCGCCCCAGGGCTTGCTCACACACCTTGGGCTCTCCACTGGGGTCACGGAGGGATGGGGATAGGTTCATAGCCAGACTGAAAGGCTTGGGGGTGGGGAGCGAGAGGGTGGGATGCATGAGAGCTGGCTGGAAGAACAAGACAAGCCATCGTTTTTTGAGTTCCTGGTCCATGCCTGGCATGAGCGAAGTGTTGGTGTCTATCAGCTGGCTTAATTCTCACTGGCATCTAATTTGCATCCTCCCCTCACTTTTACAAACAAGGAGACCATGATTCTGATCGATTAGGTATATGCACGCACAAGGTCACACAGAAAACAGCCAAGCATTCACGCTCAGGGCCGTGTCATGCCAAAGCCATCTCATCAGCAGGGGGCTGATCTCTCACAGCCCCCAAACCTAGGACCGGGTCAGGGGAAGGACCTCAGCACCAACCTAAAAATGACCAAGACCACCAAGTAAGGGTCAAAGTGCTGGGAGCAGAGGCAAAGCCTTCTCAGGAGACCCCTAATTCCTGCATGGCCTGCTCTTGACCCCACAGCTCTAGGCAAACAACTCCAGGCTCTGTTGGCCAAACTCTCCTCTCTTGACTTTCAAGCCCTATAAAGCTATGCCTTCACCTACTTGCCAGGTGTTTCTCTCACCCTATGTGTCCTCGCTGGCCTTCACCTGCAACTTCTCCAGTTATCCTTCACTCTAGGAAGACTCTCCTCTGTCCCACCCCACGCTTGGTCTTGCCATCTCTCCTCCTGCTTCTGCTCCCTCACCCCATCCTTCCTCTCCTACTTCAATACACCCTCACTCCCCCACTTTTTAAGAGCCATAGCTCCCACACTAAAAAGTTCATAGAAGACTGGACTGGAACATTTGGGGAGTCCTGCCTGGCACCCCACATTGTATGCTGCCGGTTTGGTCAATCAGTCTCAGTACTCCCTTCACGGGCCGAGCAGGCCCAGGGTTCAGGTACCAGGCAACACCTTCCCAATGCCTCCCACCGCAGCCCCCCTGAGCCCCAGCCTCCCTGGATGGGAGGGCCAGAGGCATGGCTACCCCCAAAATAGAGCGCCAGCCCAGCTCTGAGGCACTAGGTAGGGTGTCTGAGACCCTGCCCTGGGGATTCAAAACCCATCCCAGTGAAGCCCAAATAAAGAGATGCCCAGGACTCACCCCATCTCTGAGCTGCAGTAAGGGGGGCAGACACCTGCTTCTTGAGCACACGCCCCTCTCTGGCCCGGGACTGTCCGGAGAGCATCTTCCTGGGCAGGACATTTCAGCTCCCTCCTCCCTCTGTTCTCCTCCTCCCAATGAGCTCATCTGTCTGGGGCTCCCTGCCCCCCCTTCCCTGAAAGGATATTTCGATAGAACCTGGGAGAAATAGGAAAAAGAGGAAGGGAGGGGTTGAAGAGTGGCTGCCGACCTGCCTGTGCCCAGAGCCCCTAGAAAGTGGAGATGGGTAAGAGGGAGCCGTGGACTCCCCAGGGAGGAGGGTTCAGCAAGAGTTTACTCCAGCTGGCTGGCAGGAGGAGGGCTGGGAGCAAAGGTGCTGAAGCCCAGGTGCCAGCTCCGGGCTCCCTGCTGGACCGCTAAGCCACGCGCCTGCGGATCGGTTTGGTGCATGCTTGTTAACCCCCTCCGCACCTGCCAAAGTTCAGCGGATGCGGCCACTTTGGCTGGGGCCAAGCTGGTACTCAGAACTGGTAGGAAGGAGTGGGGAGCAGAGACGAGCTGGAGCAGACCTGGGCGCGCTAGAAGAGACGCCCAAAAGTTTGTAGTATTCACTGGATCTCAACCTGAGAGGATTTAGGGGCATTTAACTTTAAATGCAGGCAGAGAAGCCACTGTCCTGAGGTTGGGCCCTGTTTATAACCAGAGGGTAGATCGGGAAAGGCAGGGCCTGGAGCTGCTCCGGGCGGTGGGAGGGGCTGTGAAGTGTGTGTGTGTGGGAGGGGGGGCTCCCTGCAGAGCTGAGTTCTCTGGCTTGCAGCCTCTAAGAGCCGAGTCAGCGCCACTGGCGAAGCAGTTACCTGCAATGCCCCGACCAGAGCCGCGAGGGCTGATGGGGAGGAGGAGGAGGCGGCCAGCAGGCAAGGGCAATAGGGGTGCCCGAGGGGGAGGAGGATCCCTGCCAGGCTCTAGTTACTTAGGAGGAACTCCTCTCAAAATAGCTCAGGAGACCTCACCAGCGTTCTCCCTATCCCTTCCAACCAGCCGGGGGTCTTGACCGGCTTTCTGAAAACTGACAGTGATGGAGATACCCATCCAGCAGCCCTGGTAGAAGGTGAGAAAATACCTCCCAGCCCCTCCCCCCAGGCACCTATCAGGGTAAATGCTGCTGCCAGAGGCTGGAAGCTGGAATCTGCCCCCATGATTCCCCTCTTCCCCCCCCCCCCCATACCTCTCATCTTCCTCCCTCCAATCAGGCTCCCTAACTGGGTAGGGGAGGAGGGCAGGAACCAAAGCATTCACCTGGCCTTAGAAAAAACAGTTGGACTAACTGCTTCAAAGAACCCTATGTGAACCCTATACCCCCCACCCCCAACAGCATCTTCTCCCTTAAATCTAGATCCTGTCTCCTCCAGTTTGGGAATGAAAAGTTCCTGACAGCAACTTGGCACCAGGCCCAGTCCTTCTCTGCATCCCTGAAAACTTGCTCTTCAAGGTATTTCTGAGCCAGGCCACCCAGGACCTGAGCGTGAATAGCCCATCACCAGCTGGGGGCGGTGGAAGACCGTGCTGCCCTGGTGAGGAGCCACTCTTCCTGCCCCTCCCAAAGACCGGGAGGGGGCCTGAGTGGGGTGGTGGGGTGCCTCTTCCAGGAGCGAAATCTGAAATCTCCGGGAACTCTGACCTGTTGGTGGCCTCTCCCTGGCTCCCTGGGAGGCTCCGCCACCTGATCAGTGGTCTGGTTTTGAGGATTTTTCAGGGAAGTGCTCTAAAAATGTAAAACAACTCCAGCCGCTAATGCATCTTTTAAGCACTTTTCCTGCCCAACTGTGGGGCCCTCCTGATGTTCTTCAGAGGAAAGCTGGGGGTGTGGGGAGAGACACGCAAATAAGGGGAGGTTCTCATCTTGGCTGGAGCCGTCACCTTCTCTGTGACCTTGGCCACCCATCCTGCCTCTTTGTCCCATGTTTTGTGTGGTTTTGTTTTGAATCTGTGAGGCCTGCAGGTTTCCTTAGGGCCCTCCCTGTGCTAAGAATTGGCAGCGGTGGCACCGAGGTGAAGGCCAGTGGGAGGAAGTCAGCCCCTCCTCTTGTCACCCTGATCTAAAAATAGACAAGGGCTGTGCCCCTCCCCTCCCCCTCCTGGGGCAGGGGTCACTTTCCTTCCCATTGGCTCACCTCTGCTCTCATTTTAAGCCTCCTGTTTTGGGAAACATGACCCCTGCTATAAAAATAAAGTGCCCAGCAGCCTATGGGCTATGGGGTGCCTGGCCCTGTTGATCTGTGTCGGACCTCCTGGGGAAGGAGAGCTCAGCCTTTCGGGGCCACAGACCTCTTTGAGAATAATAAGAGCTAAAATGTCCTGTGACTGTTGCTCAGCCAGTCTTCAGAGCCACCCCTGCCCACTCTGGGTGTTTGTGAGGCCTGGGGCAAGTGTACAAAGGGAAATAACATATATCATAATATAAGTAATAAATCAAGATAACAACGTGTCAGAATTCACCTAACGTCCTCTGATGGTGGTTCATTTGCCAGGGTCCTCATTTGAAGAGCACGTCTAAAAGCCATTCCCTGGTCTGCAGGTCTTTGTCCCGGTAGGGATGCAGCTCTCCTGCATGCATGTGAGTGTGCCCCCCGCCTGCCAAGTCCCGTCCACCTGTGGCGACCTGCACACAGCTGTGCCTTGTCCACTCCCCACTCTCTGGGCCTGTGGGTGCACATCCACCAGTTAGCTCTGGAGAGGATGGTCCTGGAAAAGAAGCTTTCAGAGTTGAGTCAAGAAGTCCAGAGCTCTCCCAGGAACACGGGCTAAAAGAGGAGGTACAAGCCACATCCCCTCCTATACCATGAACCCTTTTCCAATGAGGAGAGGTATGGCCAGAGAAGGGCCAGAGTGAGAACCTCTCAACTCAGGAAGCTGGCACCCCTGTTGCCCAGGCCTCAGGGTGGCATTGCCCTTCACCCCACAGGGTCAGTTTTATTCATTTTGCAAAGGAGTCTTCTGCAGAAGATTGTGTAACTTGCTCAAGGTCGTTCCTCAATAAATGTTGGGCCTGGGCCTTGACTTTGGGCATCTAACTTCTAAGTCGCTGTTCAAGGCATCAACTAAATTGCACAGAGCCCCCTGGGGGTGAGGTAGGGCTCAAAGAGATCTTGAGCATTTCTTACACAATTTCCAGGGAGCCTTGGTTACTTTGAAGGCCACCAAGGAGCTCCGGTTAAGAAGTTTGGAGGTGGGAGTGAGGCCAGGAGGTGGAAACAGGTTTCCACATGGCACCAAGCATGCAAAGAATGGGGGTTCAGGAACACAAGGGATCTGTGGTTGCAGGAGGGGCTTGGCTTGTTGGGAAAAGGGTGCTGGGGTGCCTATCAATCCAAACCACCCCAAATAGCGCTACTCACTGTTAACTCAAGGCTGTCTGGAAAAGGGCTGCTGTTCAGTCTCATCTCAGCTCTCTGACTTTGCTGTGACCCCTCTTGATGCCAGGAGGTCCTTCCACTTCCACCCCCAAAGACAGGCCCAGGGAGTCTAAGCAGGTTTTAATCTCTTGGAGGAGGGTGAAAAGGTGGGGTTTGAGGGAGATGGCTGAGGAAGTGAAATGAGAAATTAAGAGGTGCCGGCGGAGGGTAAAGCGGGGCTCCGGGCCAAGGACCAGACACAGATTGGTAGTGTCTGGCCTGATTCCCTAACCAGGAACATCGTGATTGCCGAGGAGTCTATGAAGAAATGCGAGAGGTTGGTGGGCGGTGGGCGGGGGCGGACTGCGATCGGGAGCTCTCTTCCCGGATCCCTGCACCGAGGTGGCCGGCCGCTGCACGCGCACGGGGTTCGGGGTAGCCGGAGGCGCGCGGTTGCAGGAGACAAGCTCGCACTCGCTCACTGGCTGCGGCAGCGCCCGCTGCGGACATTCGAGCGGTCCCTTCATGGTTCGGCGAGAGGACGCGGCTACTCTCTCCCGGCTCCCCAGAGCTGAACCACAGCTTTCCAGCACCCGAAAAGCTCCGTCTCTACTCCCCTAACTCTCTTCTTCATTGGCAGTTCTGCACATGGGGTGGTGAGGGCGCCTGCGGGCGGGCTCTGCAGCACCGAACCGCTGCGGCCCAGCCGGAGCTGGAGAGGCACTGGGGGACCCTGGCTGTTCCCGGGGTTCCGGGACCGCGGGGCGGGGCGCACTAGCCGGGCGCGCTGCGGGCGGGGGCGCCCGGAGCTCCGGGGCGGCCACCGCCCCTCCTGCGGCTGGAGCGCTTCCAGAGCAGAGGCGCAGCGTCGCTCGCCTCTGCGCTCTCGGCGGTCCTCCTCCTCGCCGTGCTCCTCCTTCTCCTCCGCGTGCCCTCGGCAGCCGCTCCCGCAGCCGGCTCCTCCTCTCCCTCCCCCCAGCTCTCCCCCGGCGCTCTCCGCGCTAACTTTCGCGAGCCCGACCTGCGGCGCAGAGCTCCGGGCAGCGTCGTGGCCCACTGCAGGCCGAGGGCTGCGAACGCAGCGGTGCCCTGTATCCCATTCTCGCGCCCCTGGCGCGCTCCGGAGAGAACTCAGCGATGTCCGGGGCTGGGGACCGAGGCGAAGCGCGGGCGAGATGGCTGGGCGCTGGGCTTTTGGGTAAGGCAGCCCTAGCTTGGCCCCTTCTGCATCCACCTCTGTCCAGCAAGGGACACTTAAAAGAGGAGTGTGCCTTTCTCGGATGGGGTGGGCTTTGAGCGCGGCACGGGTTGAACACCGCTGCCGCCCGCTTCTCGCTGGACGCCTGGCTCCGCGGCTGTGGTTCCCGGGCTCTGTGGGCATGCATCTCCGCTCCAGCGGTCGGCCGGCCGGCCTCGGGATTAGTTTTTTGCTGTCTCTGGCTCCTTTAACTCCAGTCTTCTGGAGCATGCTAGTGGGGTGGCAGCGCAGCGCGGGTCTCCTGATTTCAGCGGTCCAGGTGTTCTGGAGGAGGGTGTCCATGCCTTGGATGTAGGGGATGCCAGGTGGGGTGCACTTGTGATCCTAAGGATGGTGCTTTCTGCCCCCTGCCCAGAGCTGTTTGCAACTTGGATGCTTGTTACCCAGGTATTAGATGTGCACCAACTGGGAGGGGAATTGGAGGCTCTTCTTCCTCCTGGTCTTTTTTATTTTTGGCTCTTCTGCCCTCAGCCTCCTCCACTGCCCACAGCCTTTCCAGCCCACACTAAGGACTGGAGGGTGTTGGAGGGACTTACAAGATCATTCAAGTGCCCCTTTAGAAGGCTCTTGTCTCCTGCAAAGAAATTCCAGAGGGAGGACTAGCCTAACCTGCTTCAGCGCTGCAATTTTGGGATAAATATGAAGACTGAGGAGACACAGGGAGCAGTTTTAATATCCATTAATATGAACCTAATAGATTTAAGTATCAACTCTAAGAGATTAGGGGCGGGTAGTCATTAGTCCAGTATGCAGTTGCCTTATAATTCGTGGCCGGATTTCTATGTAAACCGACTCCAACCCTGGCACATGCACCTCTTCCTGTTTATATTTGTCAGATTTGGCTTTTGGCAGCTACCCCCATTGGGTTAGGCATACAAGAAAGCATTTGCACTGGAAACAGGGAGTAGCAGCCTTTAAGGGCGTGTTTCTGCAAAAGTAAACAGTGTGCAGACCTATCATGCTGGCAGCCAGTGATGTAGGGTATAGAGTATTTCCTTCACTTTGGAGCCATGCATTTAATGACATCCCTTCGGCCGGAGAGAATAAAATAGCCTGCAGTTTTCCCTTGTACCTTGGCACGGTTGTATACTGGTTTCACAGCGACCCCGATGAAGAGGGCCTGAGACCTGCAGCTCCCCTTCATGGGGTGGGCACAGTGCCCTCCACATTACCTTCCCACCCCCACCCCCATCTAGTCTCTGATCAGCCATATCCCTCTGTGGCTATGGCAGAGTCGGGGCGAACAGAGAATTCAAATTCATCCACTCATGAAACTGGCCCATGGAATACCTCTGGCTTCCCATCTTCCTGCTGCCTGGATGGATGGTGGGATGTCAGAGGCTGTGAAAATATTCCTAGAACCAGTCACCTGTGGGAAACCACACTGTACACACACACACACACACACACGTGTGTGTGCATGTGTGCATATGCACTGCGGACAGAATCTTAGTATTTTTCCCAGGTGGAAGACTCCACCTCCTCCAGGGACTGTTTTGCTGAACAGACCAGGTGGAGACAGGCCCCTTGGAGTGGGTGAAGGTGAATGCCTGAGCTACTCCCAGGGAACCCTGGAGTTCCCTGGTTTGTGGGTGGGAGACCAGCAGGCCCCTCTGCTCTGCCCTGGACCTTGCTGGGGCAGCCCCTACCAAGCCTTCCCAGCAGTATGGCTCTGAGGTGCAGCCTCGCTCTCCTTCTAGGAGGGGAGATGCGGAGATGGTTAGACAGGCAACTGGAGAGGTGTCTTAGTAGTGCGGGAGCTGGGCGCCACAGCACCGCGCTTTCCTGGGAACCATGGTCCCAAGAAAGGTGATGATTTAACCAGGGGTTCATGGCCAGTTGGTGGTCAAGTACTTGAGAATCCTGGCCTTTTCGTCTCTTCATATCAAGTTGCCTCCCAGTTAAGCAAAGTCTGGTAAGGGGGAAGGGTAGCAGGGATTGTGGTAATGGGCTGAAGGACGAGTGAGCTTGGGGGGCTATGCTGGGGGGCTCAGAGCTGTTGTTCTTACCACTGTGGAGCCTGGGTCCAGCAGTCCTCTACCTCTCTAGCCCTCTCTCCCCATGTCAAACTCAGCCTCACTGACTGCGAGTAAAATGATTTTTGATCACCTGACAAAAAAACCCTTTTCTTAAATTGCAAAGCCGTCTCCAAGGCTGTTGTATTCCAGTGGGGGTTCGTGTGGGTGCCAGCCTCTTCCTAAACATGAAACTGGTAATATATCTGTCCTGCCCACCCTTTCCTTGTTCACTGATTTGCTTAATTGCTGTGATCTGTGTTAATTATCACTTGTGAGCATGCTATGTTGCACAACCTTCTTTCCCTTGGTATGTATTTACTAAGGGCTTGTTTAATGAGAATGCAATTAAAGAGAGGGTGCTCAGGGCTCACTCAGAGGAAGGAAGAGGAATTGGCAAGTTCAGTGTTCACGGAGAAGAGGACAAGCCAGGAAAGGCAAGCGGTGAGGGAGACCCAGGTTTGAATCTGGAACTGATGATTGGTCCTTTTTCTGGAGATGCAGGTATGGACTCCCCACCTCCTGGTGGGATCATCCCAATGGGTAGACACACCAGACAGATTCTGCCACCTTGTCCTTTGGCTGTGAGTGTAGGCATCTCTCAAACCACTGGCTGGCCATGCCCATTCTGAGGGCTGTAAGAGGAAGGACATATATATTGAGCAGACTTGTTTGCAAAGCTGGGTTTGCTGCACACCCAGTGCCGTCTCAGGGGGCATGCTTCCATCCTGCAAAGCTCCTGGGGGTGGGCAGGAAGCAGGTAGGTTGCCTAGTGAGAGGGAGATGAAATCTTTCCTTTGCCTCTGGCCCAGGGGCCTTGCCCCGCTCAACCCAACTGCCCACAGCCCCAAGGCTGGCACCCCAGGAGGGGTCTTGTCCTATTGGTCTTGACCCACTTTCTGGCTCCAGCTTGAGCTTGGGACCTGTCTGCCTTCTTTGGGACCAGAGCGTATCAGCTTCCCTATTTAAGTAAGCCTTGTTTCCACCTGCCATGCCAGGCCAGCCCCGGGAGCTAAACTTAGAGTAGGCAACACCCCTTGCTCCACTTCCTTCCGCCACTTGGGTGGGTGTGACTATCCCCTAGATGTGGGGAAAGGTGTTGGGAGTCTCCTACCTTGGTTTTTGCCTCGGAGCATCTGATAGTCGCCATGAGATTTCTGCTCCTGTGAGTATTTAATAATAATCTGTGCAGATATGGAATGTTTTTTCACTTGAATAAAACTTGGGAGTCTTGAGTCAATTCTCCTGGGGGCTAAGGCAATCCATAGCACCCAGATGTGGATGGGGGGTGGGGTAGAGTTCAGATAAAGGCAGAGAAAATGGTGCCCTGACGGTGGCCAAAAGGTTAGGGCTTTTAGTTGGCAAAGGCAAGGCTATGGGCTTAGGACTGAATTCCAAGGGTTATGAAGTGGTTATAACTCCATAAGGCCAGAAAGAGGCTCCCAATCTCCTCCTTTCCTCCCTCCCAAATACGGCCAATACACGTGCACCTGGAGGTTCTAAAGAGTTAAGTCTGGGGCAGAGGGAAGTCCTTCTTGCTGCAGGATAAAGCTGCATGGAAATAATGACCTCAAGGGTGGTACAGTGTTAAGCAATGTGAATCACCTGGAGACATTTTAGTCCCTAAGTTAGGGTTGCTTTGGGTTCTGTCAGGCCTGTGATGGGGCCAGCCCTGTCCCCCTCCTCCTACCCCTCTCTCCTCTCAGGCCAGAGACAGGGAAGATAGCCACCCTGCTTTGGACCAGTGCACACCAGATGTGGCACCTCTGGCTTTCTCAAGGTCAACAGGCACAGCAGTGTCTGCCTTGAGTCTGCTGACTTCTCTGCTTGCTGGGGGTCTCTAGAGAATCACGGCCTGCTCCCTCCTCCCCCAGCACAGCCTCATAGGGCAGAAGGCATGGTGCCAGGCAGGTCCCTGGGCTTCAGGTCTCCCAGACACAGATAGCAGGACTTGTAATATCTGGCTAGGAGGGTGAGCTCTGGACAGAGCCAGGCTGGCCCAAGCCTCTTGATGCCTTCACTCGAGCAGGGCTCTAGACTCCTTGGAAATATCCCCTCCAGGCTACCGTGACAATATCGATGCTTCACTGGGGGAGGCTGGGAGTCCTGAGTGTATTAGAGTTAAGTCATCCACATAGGCGCACACTAATCAGGCAGAAATGTGCACTGTAATGCACCAGAACTTAAAGAAATAGTTTTCTCCTCTGTCTCGATTTTTTCCCCCTGCTTCTATCTATTTAAAGGAGCCCCAAAGATTGCACTTTTGATATGTGTCTTTGGTGTTCTTGGATATTTGCTCTGACTAGAGTGGGGGTGGGGGTTGGGGTCTATGGCCTCTGATTTGCATTCCCCCATGGTCCTTGGTATCCCAGTTCCTGGGCAGTGGTGCAGTGAATCTTGCACCAGTGAAGCCCTGGTGGGCCCTTCTGGGGCACGAGCTTGTGCCCTGATGGAGGAGGCTGCAGCTAGCAGGAAGCTGCCTTCTCTGAAGAGCTTCTCTGTTGCCACACTGCAGCTCTTTGTTCTTTGGTTTACTGGGTAGCAGGGGTCAGGGCAGAGCTGGGGGGTCGCCTATCATCAGGTCATCTTCTACACTGGAGGGTGGAGGTCTATTCCCAGACTTCCGGGGCTGGTGGTGATGGGGGTGGGTTGGAGAGCGGGACAGAAGTAAAAACAAAAACAAAACAAAACAAAAAAAAACAAAGAGGCTTGGGAGAGCTGGCCTGACTGCACTGTTATCTCACAGGATGGCCTTCAGGAGAGGTGAAAAGCAGATTTGCCTCTCAATACTGCTTGTTCTGTTTTCACGTTGTGTGGCCTTGAGCTAGTTAATCATTCTGAGCTGTTTCTCTATTTTGTATAGTGGGGATAAAAATAATAGCGACCTCTTAGGCTGATGACAAGGATTAAACGAGACAGTATTTCTAAAACACCTGTCCATCTTACAGCAAGTGCTCAGTCCCAGATCCATATTTACTCTGTGGCCCTGGGGAAATTCTCAACCTCTCTGAGCCTTGATTTCATCTGTACAACAAGAAAAAGTGGACCTGCCTTTGGCATGTTAGTAAAAGTTGGTGTTGCTATGTATAAAATCTCCAGCATGCTGCTTCTCAAAGCGTGGTCCCAGATTGCCGCAATCTCTGGAAACCTTTGAGAAAGGCAAAATCTCACGCTCCACTCTAGAACTTCTGATCAGAAACTAAAGGAGTGGGACCACTCTTCAGGTGATTCTGATGTGCTCAAATTTAAAAGCCAAGGCTCCAGTACAATTCCTGGCACACAGGAGCTGATCAAAGAGTGAGGGCTAATTAAAAGAATAGCTCAGCTCTAATTAGAGCCCTGGTGGGAAAATCCTGTTATTTTAGAAAGGGAGGATTTTCTTGCTTTGGGGGTTGGGGATGCTGGAAATGTCTCCTGTTGACCTTAGGGAAGCCTCCCAACCTCCTTGTGCTGGGTTGTCTTGCCTATTATTTGGTGTGGTAATAGTATATCACTTGTGGGATGCGCTTGAGGATTAAGTGTGCCTGATACATGGTAAGCGCTCAGTAAATACCAGCTTTTATTGACAGCGGCAGGATCATGAGTGGACCATGGGGCGTTTTATTAAAAAGCATCGCTCAGATGGCGCCATGTGTCACCATCGTCACTGGACACAGCAATAGGAGGCTGGTTATGATGCACCCAGTGGTGACTAAGTTAGACAAGAGAGGCTGGTCCCGGAGAGTGAGGATGGGCTGGTGGCCTTTAAAACAGACTGTCCCTGACTGTCTGGGGAACAAGAACTGTTCCAGAAATCGCCCGCAGAACTGAAGCTGACCTGGGCTGAGGGACTCTCACCTGGCTTGGTTGCTAAACCCAGGCAGTTCAGCCAAGACTTTTCCCTGTTAGAGCGGTGGGTGGCCGCCTCTAGATGCGGTAGTGGAATTAATGGAACAGCCTGGATCCTTTAGCTCTGACATTCTGGCAACGCCAAGCTGGAGGTTCAAGTAGTTGGGAGAAGCTGCAGTCTGGGCAGGGAGCACAGGAATCCCTGGCTGCTTGCCACTGCCTTTGAGTCAGACCCCAGGTGGGATTCCAGCTACCCCTGGAAGTTTGGATACTTTGCTCCTCTGGGTCTCACTTTTCCCACCTGTACAACATGATTAACAATAGCCACCTTCCAGGCTGGAGGAGAGAATGAAGCAAGATTACTCATCTGGAGCACTGAGCAAGGCTCCCTGCCCAGCAAGTTACGCCAGGACCCCTGTTCTTGTCATCACTGGAAATAGGAGCTGGGTCCCCTCTGAGTCCTCACCTGGGGCCCCTGGGGACTTCCATCTAGGGACAAGGTGAGGTGAGCATCAATTCTGGCGATGACCTTGAAGCACAGTGGGTTTTCCAGGAGGACCTTGTAGGTGGAGAGGAGAGCCCAGCCCCCTTGCAGGGACTCATGAGGTGGTCCCAGAGGCCCGGCTGGAAACTGGCTTCCACCTGTCCAAACAGCAGTAGTATGCTGCCGTGTGTTGGAGGGGGAGGGGACCCCGAAAGGGGAAGAGCGTTTGGGGACCTTCGCAGGTCTAGGAGCCCGTGCTGGATTGCCAGGTGGCTCCAGGACAGCTCTTCCTCTGAGTCGGGAGTGGACAGAGGTCCAGTGGTCCTGCGCCCTGTCCTCGCCACCGCTGCACACATTCCGCATCCTGGGTCCGGCATCTGCCGCCCTGCGGTGTCTCCGCCTTCTTCTTTCCCTCCCTTCGCTGCTCTGCTCGCTCCGCCCTCGCACTGCGGGTAGCCGAGAGGGGCAGTCTCCAGCCCATGCCCACGTTATTTCATCCTGACCCGCTCATCGCCTTTTTGTTCTCAGGGTCGCGTTCAGTGACCAGAGGCTGTGGACTCAGAGGGTCAAGCACGGTACCCCGGGGAGTCCCTCAGCCTCTCAGCCCCTAGTGTCCCGTAGGAGCCCCCAGGGCTCGGGGAGGAGAGGCGCCGGGCAGTGCCCGGGACTGTGGCTACTGCTTTTCTCTTGTTCCCCTCAAGGGACCCTCCTCCGCCTCCTCCACCCCCACCCCAACCGCCCAGAAACGGAGAACATAAGGGGGAGGCCCTGTGCCCTCCTAGGGGGAAATTCCCAGCTCAAACAGAAGGGGGCCACCTGCTGCGGGGGTGTGGGGACGGCACCTCCTGACACTGCTTCTCCCGGTTAGGGGAGCAGCCGGGGTGCAGACGCGGCGGCCACCACCAGGGCGTCGTTTTCTGGTGTTGGGGTGACCCCTGGCGGTCACTCAGATTGCTTAGAACGCGGCTAACGCTAATTCAATCCTGCCGGGACCGTAGGGAAGAAAAGGAGAACTGGGGCTGGCGGCCAGCCAGCGTCCACTGAAGTAAAGAGGCTCTGAGGGTGACAGACCACCCCATCCTGCTGAGCCTCCTCCCAGAGCGCCAGCTTGGAGGTTTTATTAAAGGAGGCGGCACCTCCGACAGGTCTCTTCCTCCTCCCGGTGTCGCTGTCGCTGGAGGTGTCTGTGGGAAAGGCCACAACCATCTACGCCGTCAACGGCACGGAGATTCTACTGCCCTGCACCTTCTCCAGCTGCTTTGGCTTCGAGAACCTTCGCTTCTGGTGGTCCTACAACAGCAGTGATACATACAGGATTGTAAGTAGTAGGGGGAGGGACGGGACAGCCCAGAACCCCACCCCTCGTGAAAGTGAGGGTCTCCTCACTTTCGATTCCCACCCGAAGCAGCCCTCACCCTCCTTTGATGGTGCCCAGGGCCACTCTATCTCCCTGGAACCTTTTCAGAGTCTGTCTGGAAGGATCTAAGTGGGTGGACTGCCAAAATTTGGAGTCTGTTGGAATGTTGGGTAGAGTCCTTTTTCTGGTCTGAAGTGATACCTGAAATGTGACTGCATGTGTAAAATCAGTCATTTGACTTCAAAATGCAGGAGAGAGAAAGAGCTGGAGAACTGGACTTGGAGAAAGGGGAGGAAGCTGGAGGGGAGAAGGGTCTATGGGAGCATGGGGTGGGGAGGGACAGAGGATGGATGGGTACTGACTACTCACTCTGCAGTCTCGGAGCGGGAGGGGTCCAGCGCCCATACGGGAGGCCCCTAGAGACCTACTCTGGATTGAGTCAAACGTTGAACTCAGTAGGGGCTGACGGACGGTGCCGTGGGCTTGACCCAGGTCTTGATGCAGGGCAGGAGTCCAGGTGCACAGAGGGCTTGGGGAGGGGTGTCAGCAAGGTTTGGGGGGCATCTGCAGGAAGCGTTATGGAAAAGTTTTCATGAAGGGGCTCCGTTCCAGGGAGGCCTTCGTAAAGGAACATGGCTTGATCTGAAGCCAGCAAAATTCAGGTTAGGTGGGCAGGTCAGACAGAAGGCCAAGGGAGGGGTATGCTTGAGTGCAGAGTGGGAAGGGCCATGTCACGACCTTGAGGATGCTGATTCTTTCATGGCTACCTCTCTTCTCTCCCCCCTCAAGCTCATAGATGGGACTGTGAAGAATGAGAAGTCTAACCCCAAGGTGAAGTTGAAAGATGATGACCGCATCACTCTGCAAGGCTCCACTAAGGAGAAGGTGAACAACATTTCCATCCTGCTCAGGGACCTGGAGTTCAGCGACACCGGCAAATACACCTGCCACGCGAAGAACCCCAAGGAGAATCACCTTGAGCACCAGGCCACCATCTTCCTCCAAGTTGTTGATAAATGTATGTGGGTGAGGGAAGGGAGAAGGGGGGGTCGGGGAGACAGGCAAGAGGGACAGGAGCTGGGGGAGGGTACCCACCAGAATTACTGTGAAAGAGTACAATGGGTCACACTGGTGTTTTCGTTCAATTGATGCTTTCAAGTTACATCTGGAAGTTGAATGGTTTTGTGTGCATACTTACTGGGCTACTGAATAGCTTGTGCGTCAGTCACCCTTAGCTCCTCTGAGCCTCATTTTCTCCATCTATAAAATGGGAATATGGCTGCATTCTCCTAGGGTCATAGCAAGAGGAACGTTCCTCAAGAGTGTTCGGGACAGATCCTACTCTTTCTGTATGTGCTATTACCACTCTCACATCCCTCCAAGGCCTGGCTACTTGTGTGTTCTGTTGGCAAAAGTCGATGGAATGTCAGGTCTCACACCAAAAATACTGTAAATGAGCAGTATTCTTCATTGAGTATTTACAGTTCAGAGTAGGACAGAGCCTGGTAAACAGATGACTAACCTCGGGGCCCAGCATGGAGAGGTGCAATCATCAGAGACTGATAGGAATGGGGTCTCCTTCTGGAGCATGGGTCCTCATCAGGGATGCCAGGCTGATGCAGGTGGACCAGTTAGATCATGAGGGAGCTTGCCATGAGGCCTCAGGTGCTCACATGTCCCCAGATGCTGAAGTGGTGAAAGAAGAAGGGGTAGCATAGGGGCTTGAGGAGTTAGGGTGAGCTTGGAGAGAGGAGCCCAGAAAGCTAGGGAGGTGCGGAGGAGAGAAAAAAGGGAAGGGCACTGGCTTAAGTGTCCTGATTGTACCTGAGACGTCACTGCCATCCTACATGTGTGGAGAGGGGCTGCTGGTGGCACGTTGACCATGTGAAGGGCAGAGCTGGAATTCATCAGGTAGCTTGTTCTAGACTGGAGTCCACTGAGCCACATATGCTACTAAAGTCACATCTTATGGAGGTCTATCTGGAAATCTTCCCACTTTGTGCTCAACCTTTTCAGGAGCGAAAAAGAAGGGGAATTAATCTAACAGTGCACTTCTGGGTTCCTTTGCTTCTCACACATCCTTTTGAGGTGGATTTTCTCTCCACTTTTGCAGGCTCATCTATCCATCTAGTCAATAAATATTTATTGAGCACCTATTATATTACAGACATCTTTCTGGGTGCTGAAGATATAACACAAACAATATAGATTCCTGCCCTCATGGAGAGTTCCTTCTAATTCAGGAACAGGGTATACAAACAAAACAAAGAAGAGAAAATTGTATAAGGAAACATGGCTGGTTTTATGGAGAAACTGTAAATCGAGGGAGGAAGGTTAGGGTTCAAACAGAGTCCCTAGGGAAGGTGTCTCTGGAAAAGGCAACAGAGAGAACAGCTGGATGGCAGAGAGGGAGCAGTGAGGATACCTTTGGGAGGTAGTCCAGTCAGAGGGAGCAGCAAGTGCCAGAACCTGAGGCAGGTCCATGAAGAACGGCAAGATGGCCAGTGTGGTTAGAGCATGGGGGGTAGTAAGAGATGAGTTATAATCGCTGTGGCTTTCAGGGTCCTGTGCGCATGAGCGAGATGGAGTCACCAAAGGCTCTGAGCTGGGGAGTTAGTGCTAGAGCAGCCTCGCTCTGGCTGCTGTGCTCAGAATAGTTGATGAAGCGAGGAGACCCTTAGGAGGTTTACAAGGGCGGCAGTGAGAAGTTAGGGTCTGGAATTTTTAAAGTTAGGGCCACCAGAATTTCAGGCAGATTGGTTATGGGATTTGAGAAGAAGAAAGGAGTTAAGGATGACTCCCAGGATTTGGGCCAGAGCACCTGGAAGGATGGACGATGGAGATGGGGAGACTCGTGGAGCAGGCTTGTGAAGTTGGGTTCCATTCGGAGATGAGGAAACTGAGACAAGAGGGCTAAGTGGCCTGGTCAAGCTTACTGAACAGCTCATAACCTTGAGATCCTGCGATTTCTTTCTGCATGGACAAAGGAGATCTAAAAAGGAATTGAAATTTTCAGTAGTGATTGGGGTCCTTGTCACAACTCAAACCATGGGTGCTGTGAATGACTCCAGAGCTTGTGTCTGTGGGGGTCAGGAGTGGCAAGGGGGTGTGGAGCCTCCCTTATGTGTGCCTTAGCCTGTCAGAGGCCATGTTCCCACTGTACTGCTTCCCCACTACAAGACCTGGGAAGGGTATGTCCCAGATGCTGGGATCATAGGCAGTGTAGCCCTCGAGCTTCCATGGTGCTTGACTCCTGGTGACTCCTGCTCTCTCTCTCTCTCCCCACTTCTTTTTTTCCTGCGCTGGCCACACAGTGGAAGTAGTGGACAACACGTTGACGCTCATCATCGTGGCTGCTGTGGGTGGGTCCATTGGGCTTCTCATCTTCCTAATGCTGGTCAAGAAGCTCATCATCTTCATTATCAAGAAGACTCAGGAGAAGAAGTGAGTTGACCCCATGGCATGTTTCTGCCCTCCCACCCATTCTCATCTCAAGGGTCTTCCCAGAATCCTTTTCTTTCACAGTCATCTGCCCCCATCCCATTTGTCTCCTCTCACCGTCTCTTCCTAACCCTTCCACCTCTTTCCAGTTGCTGCAACCCTCCTCCCCATCTCCTAGCTCCTGGTCTCCTATTCTCATTCCCTTTTCCCAGCCTCCCATGGAAGCTTACCGAATTCATTGAATGTGTAAATACAATCTACTACTCTCCTCTTCCCACTGTCCTGCCCATCCTATTAAACCCTTATCTTTCTTTTAGTATCACCCCAATCTAAATTATTATCAAAGCATTTAGGAGGCCTCCCCATGTTTTTTTTTTTTTTAATAATATAATAGTTTATTTGTCCATCATTTTGTGCATTTTTCCATCTCAGTTGTAATCCCTTTGGGCTTCCCATCACCAAATCACCCTGTGCCATCACCATAGTCCAGTGCATTTTCCTCCCCCCACTGTTTTTGGTTCCATTCCCCTCTCCACCCCATAAATTGTCTCTGATATATAACTGTTCATTATTATTATTATTTTCTCACCTGGTCCGTTATACTCCTGCTATGAGTGAAACCAATTGGTATTTTTCCTTTTCTTTCTGCCTCCCATATTTTTTAATCAGAGAAATTTTTAATAAAATTCCAATACATAAACAAATACATAAACTCTAAAATGAGAAGAACCTAGTGAGATGAGAGCCTTTTATTGTGAAATTCTGAAAATTCAAGTAGAGGAGATAAAGAAAATCTAAAAAGGTTGATATGGCCTTCTAGGAAGTCCTGGGTTAAGTTCAGTCATAAAAACAGAGATCTATTTTTGTATGACATTGCCACCATACCCCACGGACTCATTGGGCCCAGGTAGAGTTCATTCATTCATTGTTCTGACTGTGGCTGCTTTGGCAGTACTGGGTGTGGAACTCTGTGTGGTGCTGTAGGAGACTCTGAAAGGAATGAAATTCTGCGCTTAAATAAAGAAGCCAGGACATGGACACAGTGCATAGGGTCCAGGGCAGAGGGCCTGCCTGCGAGAGCCCTGTTAGACTGTGAGGGCTTCAGAAGAGACTGGAGCACTGGGGAGGAACTTCTGGCATTTTTTCGTAGGCCTTGCAAGACAGATATAATTTTAACCCTGGGGAATGTGGTGTGAAGGGTGTCCCAGAGGGAGGCCATCCAGAACAAAGGCAGAGTGTGTCTGGGAAGTGGTCTGTGTCTGCAGAACAAGCTGTTTTGTTCGTTGACAGGCTGGTAGGGAGGAAGAGGAGAAAACACCTGCAGAGGGGGCTGGGGAGAGGTGCTTGGGACAGGAGTCCAGGCTGAGACAGGCTTTCCTTCTGGCTGTAGGGGATCTGGGGAGGCCTTGCAGCTGGTGTGATCAGAGGACTCTGGAAGAAAGGGCCTGGTCTCAGTGGGCACAGGGACTGGAGGGAGGAGGGTGGAGGTAGGTCAGGCTGTGGGGAAGCCGCAGAGTGCAGAGCAGATGGTGGGTGCGTTTGGGGATCAATTCTGAGATTTCACTTTCAGGGTGTGGTTCCCTCCGCCTGAAATGTTCTCCCTCTTTTCCTGACCATGTGATGGCCCTTCCAAAGAGCCTTCCCTGGCCCCTACAAGGATCCATTCCTTTGCTACCGCTTACCACACTGCTCACCTGACATCATTTGTTGAATGTCACGTTCTTTGAAAAGCCACAAGTTTTCTGAGAACAAGCACTGCATAAAATTGTGCATGTCTCTCTAACTTGACACCGTGTCTGGTACCTGGCAGGTTTGCAGAAAAGAAATATGGACTCCTTGATAGTCCAGTTAGGTCGATAGGAACTGACTGGAGTGACTTTGGCTGGGATACAGGTAGAATTAGAGATAGATAGATAGATAGACAGGTGGTAGATGACAAGTGGATAATAAATAATAAATGACCGGCAGACAGCTACACAGACCCATTGAGCAAGGTCTCTAGCGGAATGTCACAGATGCTGCTTGTCCCTTGTTGATATTAAGGACATGAGGAATGACAAACTCATTAAGTTGCCAGGAGTCTAGTGAGTATGCTGGAGAACAAAATTGAGCTCCAGGAGGATCTTGATGGGCTGGAGCTATAAACTGAATCCTGCAAGAAAAACTGATGGGGACAAATGTTAAGTCTGCTGAAGTTCACGAACTTGGCGATAAGAGTCTGGGTGAAGTTAAGATGTGGCTGAGTGACAGCAGCTGTGACTCATACCGGGGCGTTTCATGAGTGGGGCTGGCAGTGAGCAGCGGTCATGTCTACCCTGGAGAACTCGCAGCTGGGCCCTGGCCTGGAGGCAGGACGACGTAAGCTGGAGTGTGTCCAGAGCAGTGCGGTCTGGGTGGCGATGCCCCTGGGGGTCTCATCTAGCCATCGCTCCTTCCTGCTGCTTCTGCCCCATCCAGCACCCTCTGTCCACACCTGCCATTCTTGATATCCAAACCTCAGCCTGCTCTGCCCCGTCCAGGCTCATTCTTCCCCACTCTGGTCACAAAGCCCAGAGGAAAGAAAAGCCTGCTGGGCCCTGGGAGTATGCCCTCTGGCCTGGGCACACACCTTGCTGGTCTGGAACCTTCCCTGTGGGCTGGCACAGCTTGGGAATAACTGTGGTTTGGCCTGCCTTGCACTGGTCTTTGGGATAGGGCCACCTCCATGTGAGACCATTAGCAGTGGCCGCTCCTTCCTGAGTGCCTCCCGTGACTCCTCACAGCAACGCCACTGATTTCCATTTAAGGATGGGGAAGCTGAGGTATAAAGAGGAAGGCAACTTGGCCTTTGCCCTCCTTAGCGCTGCGGAAGCCAGGGAGAGGGGAGAGGGGGCCCTGACCCTGACCCTTGACTGCGGGGCGCCTTTCCTCACATGCCCCCTTTCTCTCTCTCTGCAGGAAGGAGTGCCTCGTGAGTTCCTCAGGGAATGACAATACAGAGAATGGGTTGCCTGGCTCCAAGGCAGAAGAGAAGCCACCCACAAAAGTGTGACCCCCTGCTTGGGGCCAAGCAGCCTCCAGGGACCCCACTTTCTGATGAGGAAACTGACGCTTGAGCCGTGTCTGTGAACCCTTGTGCCTGAGACATCTGCTGCTTGGCTCAAACTGTAGTCTTTCCGGGTGGGGAGAAACTGGGGTCCTGCCCAGCCTGCCTCTCCCCCTCCCCAGCCAGGGTTCCCCAGGGACAAGGGGTGGCCAGGGGAGAGGCCTGTGGAAGGTCAAGGAGAGGAGGGGCTGGGGCGGTGTGGAGGGCTGGTTCCCCCACACCTGGGATCTTCCTCCGTCTCCCCCACCCTACAGGAGCAATGCCTTGGTTTCTTCCAGATTTCTCTTCAGGAGTCTTGTGGGGTCAGTGAGGGTTGCCCCAGTAGCTGGTGGTGGAAATGGCCTGGAGGACTATGTGTAGGACCTGGGGGTGGGAGGATGCTGGGGAGGTGCCTGCGTTCAGAGGCCTTGATATATTCCGTGTTCCCATGTTCCTCTACCGGGGAACTGTCTTTTCCTTTCACCCGAGGGTGCCGGCCTTGGTCCTAGGCTCCTTAATACCGCCCCACCCGAACCCCCAAAGCTTGGAGTGTCTGAACCCTCTCAACCAGGGCTGGCCACCTTGGAGGGTCCAGGCCTACCTAGCCTGTTCCTCTGATCTTGGGGTTCCTGAGGGGCTCATGAAGGAACCCCTCAGGCCTCCCTAGAGCACTGGGGTGCTACCTAAGCCTTTCCTAGCATTTCTCCTTGAGGAATCAGGGTTGCAGATGTGGATGAGCCAGTGCCCTGGGCCTCTTGGTAGCCCCAGCCCTACCAAGGCTGGCACCTTCTTTCCTTGGCATGGCAGGACCATAGCCACTCCCGGGACCTCCAAGCCTGGCTCTTCCCTCCTCCTCCTTCCCTGAAGCGGCAGGCTGTGCGTGTCATCTTGCTTGAGGTGTTGCACCCTCAAACCTGCTCCTCCTGTTGGCTTGCCTCCTGTGCACCCCTCTCCCCATTATAGGTTCTCCCCTGGCCTAGGGTTGCCCATCTCTACCCTCCAAGGTCAAGGGCTTGCCTTTACCTCAGGGACCCTCTTCCTTTGGACGAGAGAGCCCTTGAGTTTTCTGGCTGCTTCCTGCTCAGCTGTGCCACCCCTTCTGACACCCTGGGCTGGGGACGGGCAGGGAGAAAGTGCCCACAGTTTTCTTTTGCTTTTTCGAGAACTGGTTTGCACACCCCTTATGTGTGGGGCTGGTCTGTGCCTTAGCTCCTAAGTCCTAGCTCATTCTTCCCACCCTCTCCAGTCTGACTCTGGTGTGGCACCTGCGAGGGTTCCCCAGCTGCCCCCTTGCAGGGTCATGCCAGGTCCCAGGGAACTGGAGTGGCATCCCCAGCAGCCTCACAGCCAGTAACTGAGTCTTGGAGACATCCGACTGCTCCCCTGGGGAGCAGAGTGAATGTCTGACACTCTGTCCTCTGCACCCCTAGGGGGGAGGGCAGTAACCTCTTTTTCCAGGTGTATGAGGACTGCCTCAGGACTCTCCCTGCCAACAGCAGGAGCAAGCTTCCCCAGGAGGCAGGTGGGGGGAGGTGGAGGGACAGCGGCCCCAGCAGGGAGCCCTTGGCTGTAGCCTGTGGCTCTTGCCAACCTGATGGGCTTGCAAGTCCCCACTCAGAGCTGCCCCTGCCCCTCCAGCCCTCCGCCCAAAGCCCACCTGGGTCTTCCTGGCTTTGGGAGCAGACAGACCAGAGCCCTTCAGCTGCCATCTTGCAAAACTACCTTACTCTCCCTTCCCAGCTTTAATATTTGAATGGACAGATGGGCAGGCTGTCTTGGGCTCCTCTACACTTTCGGGAGGATACCCAGGGGCACAGCGTGGGGCGAGGAACGTGCTGGGTCCTCTCCACTCCTGGGCCTGCTGCTGATGGCCACTGTGCATCTTCTCTGGGCTCGGTGTTTCCATTGATGAATGGTGTAATCCCACTTACCTACCTCACAGACTGTTGTGAGGCTCGGTGAGCTTTTGTTTAAAAATCTTTTAGACTTGGAAGAGGTCTAGAAGGCCAGATATTATAATTGGAGGAATGTTCCAAGTCTGTCCAGTCTTCATCTCTGTGCCCTATCTTTGTAACTAATTAGCCATCTAACTCACTGTAATTCACTTTTGCTCTCTTTATCCGTCCATCCATTCGTCCGTCCGTCCGTCCATTCGTCCGTCCGTCCGTCCATCCATCCATCCATCCATCCATCCATCCATCCCTCCAGGTTCCCTCTCTCCTTTCCTTCCCCCCTTCCTCCTTCCCCCATAACTCCATCTATCCATCTACTGTCTATGCATCTTTCCTATCATTCACCTGTCTCTATCACCTCTCTCTTTTTACCAGTCTCCCTTGAAATTATTAGTCTTTCCAATGTTAGATACTTTGACTCTGATGCTCAGAGCTTCTTGTCACAGCTTCTGTTTGGTGGTTTTCAACAGAGGTGATTAGACGCATGGTGGGGGGCACTTAGGTTACCCAGTGCCTGGTGGCACTACTGGCCTGTAATGAGTGGGGACTACAAATGCTAAACTTAGTTCCCACAACGAAGAAATACATGCCAGTGCTGGGGTCACACCCGCAGGGGGGCATTGGCGTGCCCTGCGGTAGTGTGCACAGCCACCTTCCCAAGGAGATTCCTCTGCTTGCACATCTCCGAGGACGATCCCCAGGGCCAGGAGAAGGTTAATCCCAGGCTTGTGATTGCAGATGGCCACTTAGAGGTGGTCTTCAGAGCCCTGGACATCCGCAGCTGTGCTGACAGTAAAGTCAGTGAGGCCAAAACCAGTCTTTCTCAGCTTCCTTCCTTGACCTCACTCTGGGGCTCTGGCACTCCAGGCCTTTGGCTCCTCCTGAGCAGAAGTGGACCAGAGGCAGCCAGGAGGAGTCTGTGGTCCTGCAGAGGCGTGGGGGAGGGGATGGGGGCCTCCAGCATTCTTGCATCTAATTGGCTGCCCGAGCCAGAGCTCCAGGTGAAGCTAAGGGGCGAGAGAGTGCTCTGGAGAAGGTGGCAGGTGAGGCTGCACTTGTGTGCAGAGGGCGTGGTGTGTGCTCCCGGAAGCGCAAGAGTGTGGGGGTGGGCGGCGTGTGGCAGGGCGAGTGTGAGGCTGAGAGTGCCTGAACAGGGAGACTCCACTCAGCTCAGGAGCCACCTTTCAGAGCCCGAGCTTTACCTTTTGGGGGCACCTCGAGGCTGAGAAAGGTAAGAGACAGGACCAGACCGGCCATGTTCCTCGCTCCATCACTCCATGACTATCTGTTACGACGACAGCTGCCGTCGGGTGCTGGGGGAGGGAGTGCCGGAAGGGGGGGACCGCTCGGGAAAATCCTCTGGCTTGCTTCACTTTACTTTGTCCCAGGTTGGAGTCCCTACCCTCCACCTCCCACCTGATATGCAGCGCTTTTGACTATCTTATGCATGGTTTATTCCTCTGGCTTGGATGACAGCAATACATAGTCAATTTTCCTATATAACTTTAGATCAACTTGATGCAGCAAAGGGCCTTGGGGGGCCTCGGGACGGCGGGTGCTTCTGGGAGGCACAGATGTGTACACGCCCAGCACTGACTTGTATTTAAGCCCAGAAGGGATGTGATCAGACTGTCTGGCCTTTATAACGTGTTTTGCATTGTAGAATTTTATTTAGCTTTGCTTTGGATGAAAATAAAAATTATGTTTAATAGAAATGGTTTGGGGTTTCAGTTTTTGAGTGACAGGGAGTTGGGTTTCAGTTTGATGATTTGCCGGTTGTAATTTCTTTATGTTTTGAGTCTCCTTGGGTCTGAAACATGACCTGGATAGGTGAGACCGTCCATGTGAAATATCTAAGAATGTCTGGTCTATTCACAGGCATTTGGGTCCTACTAGTGCTGAGACTCACTGGAGGAGTGGGAGAGTTGCCCTTTAGCACTGAGATAATTGCCAAGCTCTCCTCGAACTTGACCGTGGTAATGAATGATGTGGTATTGCTATATGTCATCAATTTATGTCATCAATTTCCTTTGCCAGTCTCCCCTCCCTTGTTAAAATTCACATCTAGGTGAGAACTTCAAATGAAATAGGGCAACCGTTGCTACATATAACAGTCCTTTAGCTAATAGCATTGGCTATCATTACTATTATTCATCCAAGAAACATTTATTGAACACCTACTCTGGACACGGCGCTCCACTAGACCTTGGTATTGCTAAAATGGGTCAGATATGGACCATACTCTGGGGGCTGGGCTTGGAACAGAGGGTGGCGGAGATGAGGAGGTGTGCGGCAGGCTAGTAGGCAGGGCCCAATCATGCAGGGTTTGCAGGCCAGGTCAAAGGTGCACATTTATTTTGTAGGCAATGTGGAGCCATAGAAGATGTTTAGCAGAGGGGAGAGAGGTCTGAGTTGCAGTGGGCAAGGCAGGGGACAGTGAATGTTCTTGGGTCCACAGGGTTACACAGACATGACTGAAAGCAGCCAGAGGATGGTGAGATGTCCATGGGTTGAGATGACTTAAAGTCCAGAACATACAGAGCTCCGTTTGGGGTCTAGGAGAAGCAGTGCCTTAGGTAACTTCTGAATTCCTCCTGAGGATGCCGGGGATTACGGCAGGTTTGTCCTGGAAAGATAAGGAAGAACAGCCTACTGGGGTTGGAGAGAAGAGGGTGGGTTTATTTATGGAAATGTTTGTCCAAGGACACTGAAATGATAGACATTTGCAAAAAGCTGGGGTTTAGGAGTAAGTGAACAGGTCAGACTGTAGGGAGAGTGGGGTCCTCTAGGGAAGGCTGGCTCTGACCTCCAGGGGCTGACAAGGAAAGGTTCAAGGGCAAGGCAGAGTGATGTCTTCAAGGCCAAGGTCACAAGGAGTGCTGAGAACACCGCTAAATTAAGGACAGGCCCTTCTGGAGATCACGGGTGATCCAGTGAACAGCAAGGTGGAAAGGGGTGGCCTGTGGGGTGGGGGTGGCCGTGACTTGACCTTAGGGTGTGGAGGTGTCAGCAGGAGACAGGGAATGGCTCTACTGTATTAGGGTCCGCTGAGAAAAAGCACTGGCCCAGGTAGGAAGGAGGATGGATGATTTTCTTTTTTATTAAATTTATTTTCTTGCATCATTTTTCTTTTTTGTACAGTAATTGGTTTCTCCCCTCGGATGTAGACCCCATAGTTCTCCCACCACCACAAAACCCGGGATCCATCGCCATCGCCCCTTGTGGTATTCCCTCCCTGGATGTCGCCCCTCTCACACCCATGGTCAGCTTGCTGGTTTATCTTTTCCCTGACCCTCTGGGGTTTCTCTGTATTCTGAATATAAGTGAGACCTGGATGTTTTTCTTTTTTGAGATGGGAGAATTAAAAGCAGGATTAAACATAGCTAGGGGAGAGGTTGTGGAGGGGGGAAGGCGGTGGAAGCTGAAAGCAAGGGATGAGTCTTTTGGGTAGACCCGAGGGATGCCACCCAGGGGCCAAGCGGATGACCGGCCTTCGTCCCGCGGGGTCACCCAGTGCTCCTGTGGCAGGGAGAGAAGGTCAAGGGCAGTGACAGCAGGTGGATTTGCAGAGGGGGGAGGCAAGAAATCGAGAGATTTTGCCTTATGGTCTCTGATTCCTACTATGTCACCTGATTGCTGTGCAGACTTAAAATGAAAGAGGAGAAAGCTCCAGATCTTCTTTCCCCATTCAGGGTCCTCCCCCCAGAATTCCACCTACATCTGCAAAACCATAGCAGGGGCAGCTCTTAGCAGGAGGGAGTCCTCCTCAAAAGTCCTTAAACCACAGACTCACCCACAGGTGGGGAGTAGAGTCCCTTCCGCCGCCCAAGTGTTGAATGGAAAAGAACAACCCTGGACTTAAATTCAGGACCTGTGCTCAAGTTCTCACTCATTTATCAGTGAAATGGCCTTAGGGTTGACACCTCACCTCTCAGAGCCCCGGGTCCCTCACCTGCAGGTGGGATGGTCAGACCAGGGAGTGGTGCTCTTGGGAGAATTAAATGAGACAGTAGAAATACTTTAGAAAGCTACGAAGTGCTTGTTAATGTAAGGCGTCTCTACACCGAGTTACAGCTTCCACCAACATTTTAGGATTGAGCATTCAGAAAGGGCTGCCCAGGGCCAGGCCCCATTGAGGCACAGCCTTCGGGGCCCTCGCTGGCCACTCCACCGCCATGGCCCAGCTTAGGAGAGGCCAGAAGCTGAGTGGGCAGGGCTGGGAGGGGTGTGGTGCCTCTTGAGGAATAACTTCCTGGCAGACACGATTCTGTCAACAGTCCAAAACCAAACTCACGATCTCTCCTCATCCCACCCCCAAACCTGCTTCTCCCTAGTCTTCCCCACTTGCCCTGTTGTTGAGGCTCCACTAGAAGAGTCTAGGTAATTCCCTCTGTGAGTCTCTTTCCACCAGAATCCTTTTTTCATCAGCAAATCTTGGCTTCCAGTCAAGATGGAGTCAAAGGAAACATTTACTCTCATAATGGAACAACTACGGAATTGGAAACAAATGATGCAAAGGTTTTCTAGATGAAGATTTATTTTAATGTTTCCACCTGGGTTCAATGGTGTTGGGTCACAGTCCACGGCCTCAGGAGCTTCCTAGGTGCCGTCTGAACCCAGCCGCTGTATGCAGGCAGCAGGCAGCAGGCAGGAAGAGATGGAGCAAAAGGAAGGCCACTCTGCACAGTAGGTGGGAATTTTAATAACCACAGGAAATTACCCAAGAGGCTTCGATGAGTCGTTTCCACACCTGCCAGCCAAATATGGGAGCCTGTGCTGGGTCTCACCATGTGCGCTGCTCGGGTGGCATCATCAGCCTACGAGACTATCTTATGACTGTGTCCTCTGCTAGCTTTTCAGAGCTGGAAGGTGAGCAGGATGCACATGCCACGGATGGGTAATGGTGGTGGGGAGGGAGGCACCTGCACTGACCGACTCTGGCAGGTCAAAGGCTAACATACTTTTGGGGTCCCCTTCCCCACACAGGGCTTTGCGCCTCGGTGGCGGGTGCTGTGTCTGGTGCTCTCCCCAGTTCCGGACAGTCTCAGCTGTTATCATTTTGGACATTGTCTCGCTCTCAGTCTTTCTCCCACAGAGCTGTAACTGTATATGTCAGACCTTATCACTTTAGTCTCCACTGTTTGTTCATAGCCTTGTTTTCATATGTATTATTTTAAAGATTTATTTATTTATGCACACAAGAACTGGGGTACAGCCCAGAGGTGTGGGGGGGGGTGACAGGATTCACCAGAGACGGAGTGGGGAGCAGAACAGGCAGACGTACTGAAATACACTGCTGAGGGGAGCAGCAGGTGGGACAGGAGAGGTCTGCTGCGCCATGTGGGTCAGCTTCCTGGCTGGGAATGATTGAACTCACGCTGCAGTGGCTGCAGCTTGCTTAATAGTGCTGCATTTCAACCTGTTGTGCCACCAGGGAGGGCCTTCATTTTCATATATTTTTTCGTTAATAACTTCTTCAATTTACTGCCCAGTTCATTACTTCTCTCTTCGTCTGCAATGCTATCTAACCCCAGGATTCAATTTTTTCATTTTAATAATTAGTTTTCATTTTCAAGACTGAAATTTGGCGTTTCTTCAAATTTGCCTGTCATCTATATGATTATTAAAATATCCTTTTTTTTAAAACTGAAAATAAGAAGGGTTGATGAGGATGTTGAGAAATCGGACACTGTATACTGCAGGTGGGAATATAAAATGGTGTGGTCATAATGAAAAACAATACAAAATTTAAAATGGAGTTATCATATGATCCAAAAATTCCACTTCTGGATCTGTGCCCCAGAGAATTGAAATCAGGAGCTTAAAGAGATACTTGTATACTCACGTTCACAATGGCACTATTCACAATAACCAAAAGGTGGAAGAGATCCAAATATCCATCAGTGGATGACTGGATTTAAGTAAGTGGTATAAATAGTATATTATTTAGCCTGAAAACACTGTGCTAAATACTATCATCCAGGCACAAAAAGGCAAATACTATCTGATTCCACTTATGTAGGTGCCTCATCAAATTCAGAGAGACAGAGGTTGGGGCAGGAGCAGTGGAAGTTATTAATTAAAAGGTATTGAGTGTCAGTTTTGCAAAGGAAGAACTGTTCTGGAGAAGCATGGGGAAGGTTCTCAACATCATCAAACTGTGTACCTAAAGGTGGTTAAAATGATATGTATATTTTATCCCAATTAAATACAACTTCAAAATGTATAACCATAATTTCAAAAATGTATCCATTTTTAATATCAAAGATTTCATAAATTACTATCCTAATGGAAGCCTTTCGGTGGGAAATCATAGCCTAACCTTGGAGCAAATGCTCATCTTCAACTTACCAGCAGAGAGCCTCAGGCAAGATACTTGACCTATTTGTGGCTTATTTTTCTTAACCATAAAATAGAGTTAATATGAACAGTAGCTATCTCATAGGTCTGTGCAACTATGAAATGCATCAGCATATGATGAAGCACTTATAATTGTGCTGGGCACCTAGACTTCTTTGGTGTCCGTTATTATTATAATTATCTGGTAATTCTAACACCTGATATCCTGGGAGTTTTTAATTTGCTATTTTTTGATCATTCAAACTCATGGGGTTTTCTTTTTCAAAATCTTGGCTGATCTTTGATTGTGAGCTCATTTTGCACCATCTTTTTCTGGGAATCCTGAGGCTTTACATTTGGGATTTTGTTT